CTCCTATGATACTGCAGCCTGGCCACCCTCAAACCCCCCCTTTTATGTTACTCAACTTTTTTATTTTGTCTATTGTGCTCGTCTCCTAATATACCATAAAATTGTAGTTTAGTGTCTAACAATTTAAGCTCCATGAGGGCAGGGATCTCACCTGTTTTGTCCAATGACGTATCCCAACTAAATGAAAGAGTAGTAGTTAGCATCGGTGCCCAGTATTTATCTTTCTGAGGAATGAATCTATATTCAGATGCCATTGTTGAACACATGGAAAGCTACCTGCTATGGAGGATTGAGCATAATCAGCGTTTCTCAAGAGAACAATTTCTCTTTTCACTGGACATTTGCATGGTGACACTTAACCTCAAACACTTGTGGATTGTGCATATGAGTGTTTTTGCCCCCAGCTCTCCTTGTGTCTAATGCAATGAGCAGAGCGAGGTCACTCTGCAGATAAATTTGTTTTCCAAAGGGGAACTTTGCCCGCTAATTTAAGGCAGCCACATAATCTGACTTACAGGCTCAGTCGTTTCTCATTTGCCATCTGGCAATTTAATTACTTTAAAATAAAGCTATATATAGAATGAAAGAACACAAGTTGGAAATCTGATAATATGTGTGATAAGATGGTAATGTTTCTATTTGTTTTTTGTTTTGTTGTTGAAAAAATAAAGCTCATAGAAAGACTCGAGAAGGAATCATTTCAAAGCTTTCCCTAGACAGAGCCCCTTACATAAATTTTATTCTTTGACTAAGAGCCTTTGTTATAAACTAAATGTTTTGAATTAGTGGATTATTACATTTTTCCATTGAGTTATAAGTCTGGCCCAAAGCTATGAAATAAGAGGTTGTCAAAATTGTTTCAAAAGTGTTTGGCCATGAAGTGGAACTGGGCTGAGATGTGAGGAAGGTTCTTTTCCTTTTTCCCTTTTCATAGTATTTCCTGATCTATATTCTTTTTTTCTCCTATCCCTTTACCCCGGAATATGTTTTTCCAGTGCCTTCTTATACTCTGTTTCTGATTTCTCCATCTCTGCTTGTGCTTCCTTAGTCCTCTGTGGTTAATTGCAAATGGGCAAAAGAACCAGCACTCTGGATGGTATATTCAAGTTAAAGAGTAACTCAGATAATGTTTGTTTGAGACGACTGTGAGGGAAGGGCGATTATGGAATTCTGAAAACCAGGAGCTTAGGTGACAATTACATTTAAAATAAAGATTAAAGTGATCAGGGTACTTTATCTAATTTCTCATTTGTAGTGGGAAAGTTGTGTTTTTTTGGTGGTTTCTTTTTTTTTTCCTTGATTGTTGTGGCAGCTAGATGCAAATAACATCACGCTTTGGAACACACAATGCTGATTCTCAATCACTGGCAAAGAAGGGTGAGAAGACAGGGCATCCTAATTTGCACAAAAATGCAACCAAGTCATCATTTGCAGCTCCTTGGAGATTCCATTCTCAAGTTTTACTGCTTGTACAAGTTCCTTTGGTATGGGAGGCAGAGCCTGGGGCGTGGTTGGGAAACAATAGTTTGGCTCTTTTACCCCCTAAATCAGTTCAAATCCCATATACCCTGAATTAACTGGAATTGCTCTCAGACTTGGCAGCTCCTGTAAAAGATCTGGATGTTCATAGTGGCTTAGTGAAATGGGGAACACATTTGTTTCACCTTGACTTCCATAGAGGAGAATCTGCACTATTTTTGTGGGCTCAGAGAGGGGGAGCTTCTGATCTGTTGGAGAGAAAACTGAATGAATGCGCACTGAGGCAGAAAGCTTGATGTGGCTGTCATGCAAATAAGAACCGTGATTGGCTTTCCCTTTCTTTCTGCGCACGATGTCACTGGCTGCTCTCAGCCTTAAAGATTAGGTTTCAGTAGGAGTTTTTCAGGTTCAAGGACTGTTAATGGTTTGTAACTGCCTGACAATAAGCTCAACCTCAGAGTTACATCAGCCTGGGCAGATGTCTAAGGATATGAGACCGGGGGAAGAAAAGTTAGAATCTGGAGCAGGACGAAGCTTGCCACCTGCCTCATGGGCTGAGCTTTTAATGTGATTTACATTTCTAAGCTCTATGTAGGTGCCCTGGAAATGGTGGTCTTCATTAATGCAAAGATTAAGTCTTTAATTAAACTTTTTAAGAAGAAAAGTAAGTATTCCTTTTCTCTCTACTACCTATTGTGTGCATATGTTTCCGTATGTGTGTATGTCCCTGTGTGCCCGTGTGTGTGTGTGTGTGTGCGTGTGTGTCCATGTGTGTGTTTTAGGTCCTTCGTTCCTTTGTGTGATTAAATTAAGAGTGTGAAACAGCATAGTAGGCATGAGTTAAACTCTATACCAGGTTGTTTAAATACCTCAGACTTTTGTAACTCTAGGACAGTATTATGTGATCTTAGCATGTCTTATTTATTTATGATTGGGGTTTTAAGTGAATTTACTACTTTTGTGCTTTTCAAAAGAAGTCCTTTGAAGAGGGGGAAAAATTCTTGTACTTAATTTATGTTTCCCTTAATATCCAGTGTATGATTTTTTGATTCTTTGGCTAAATATGCAGCTGAGGTAAGGGAGCCTCTGTGTAATGTATGACATGTTTCTGGTGGAGATAATCCCCTAAAACTCCCTGGCACTCTTTGTTGTGTATTTAAGAGCTCGAGCAAGCACAAACCGTCTAGACTGATCAGTGATTGTTGTAAGGTACAGAGCTTTTGTGGTGTGGCTTTATTGTGTGCTTACCATTGACTTACATTTCTTTAATCTAGTTGCTTCTTCATTGTCTTGAAAATGATAATTTTTATAACTACCTGGCTTTGTTTTTACATAGTTGTTGTTTTATTTTAGTTTAGTTTAGTTTTTGGACCAGTGATTTAAACTGGATAAATGTACATGGGTAGGGGCATTGATAAAAGGGGCTTTGGAGAAAGCTACGAAGAGCAGCACGGTGTGCTGATTTTCTGCAGCTTCTTGCCGAAGGCTGCCTTTGGATGGACAGATTAAAAGTGCCCCTGGCAAGAGTGAGGAACACCAGCGAAAGAGACTTTCTCATAGGAGCCAGTTGGTAGCTGTGCAGTGGGGCTGATGGTGCGACTGATGGTGCAGACACGAATGCCATTACTTGGATTTGATTTGTAATTGGCAAATAGGAAAAGTTTTCATTTTCCATAGTTTCTACTCTGAAATATGGTAACTCAATCTTTAAAATAAATGGTCATCAGCACAAAACACTGATGAACTCTGGCTACACTTGGGGGGACATATGGTGAGTTTGGCCCAGTGCTAGATTCTTCTGAAACACAAATGAGGGTTAAGTCAGGTCTTTGTGGATTTTGTGTATTAAGATTGATAGTTGTACGCGCCGTGCAAAACATTTGCTCAACAAGAGTTTATGTGAAATACTAGGTGCCGAATGCACATACTGCTTTTGTCAAATACTAAGCAGAAAACACACTGGACATTTCTGTTTTTAACCTGATACCTTATTCTCAATGTTTACTTTCTCATTTAGCAACTTATGGAGAAGGTGGGATCCTTTTGAAAATGAGTTATCCTGTTCAGATTCATAAGATTGTGAAATTTAGTAGCTGTAGAAAAGATGGTATGTGAGATGAGCGCTAACCTGTGGCCCAGGTTTACAAGAGACAATGACGGTTGGAAGTTTGGGGCCTCATTAGAATAATTTTTACTGTTCCTGCCACAACTGTGTTTTACCTGAGTTATTTCATGAGCTGAGTACTTTATGTATATTGGTTCATTTGATCTTTAAAGTAGCGCTAATAACTGTGCTATAGAGTATGTTTCGTTAATTTTAGATATCTTCAAATGGATTTAATAGTTTATGCATGTGTTCTCACGTTATTTGAGAATTCATTTTATGGTCTAGTTTCGGGGTACATGATATGCTGGGGACATGGATACCCAGTGTGAACTCTATAGCATAGATCAGAGTCAGGAAGACTTGCTCCTCACTCACAATTCAAGTATCTGCTGGCTTTACAAGGGTTACACTTGCTACCTCAAGCAAATGCCTCAGCACAAGGACTTTCTCCAACACCTTTCCAGTCTCTCTTATGCCTGGGTTACATGGCAGACATATAGAAAGTATTAAAACATTGTTGATGAATTTGTTTTGGTGCTGTCGGCCTCATTTTGGGCTCCACTGATGCCCCAACTTAGCTTGTGTTGTCAGGAAAAATGAACTAGAGATGTCTCAAGCCTCCGGGATTTAAAGAAAAATTATTATAGAGATTTATCTTAGTCTCAGGATTTTACCTGTTATTTTATCCTCTAATGTCTCGGTCTCTTCTGTGCTGGGAAAATTTAGTTGAATTGGATTGAGTTGGGAAGAGTCAATTGCATTGTAATTTAAAACATTTTTAATATAAAAGCATTTCATGAAAGCAGGAAATGCAGAGAGAATTTTGTAACACAAATGGATCTCCACATCTATTAGCTATGTCATTTGCATGTAAATTGAATGTTTACGCTTAATTTTTTAAAAATGCAATTGAGTTTATAACAGTGATGCTCTGTCAATAATGCTGTAGAGAGGGAATATTTCTTATAAACCTCCTGGTAGGAAATTCATTTCTGTCAGGACAGTCTAACATTTACTGTTGCAATGGTGTTATACAGTTGAGTAACTGATATTTGTTGTGTGTGTGAGAGGGGGTTAAGTAGGAATTGGAAGTCTCTATCAATTCTGTCCATTGTTTTCAAACATTGAAGTAAAGGGAGAACCTGAAATGCTGGGAGGCAGTTAACTGAGCAAATGATTCTATGAAGACATTGTTTGGAGGGTGGACACTTTCAGCTTTTCCTTTATAAATAAAACACTGTGGGCAAGACCCCTGGAATCTAAGATTAAATCTAATTTGGAATTTGCTCCATTGCTCCCTTGCCGGCCCTTACCCGTGGATGTGTTAGGCATGGAAACACATCATGGTGTAATGAATTTGTAGCTAATGAAGCCTAAGTTGACACCTGAATGTATTCTATCTTTTTTTCTATAGCGGTTTCCAACCTAGATGAGGAGAGCCGATGGACAGTCCACTACAGTGCCCCATGGCACCAGCAGGAGAATGTGTTCCTTCCCACCACAAGACCCCCCTGCATTGAGGACCTGCACCGCCAAGCCAAGCTCAATCTCAAATCAGTATTGAGGGGTAAGATGGCATCATCTGTGAGCTTATTTTCTTGGTTATTGGGTCCTGAGAGTATAAACTTGATATCTATCTATAAAACCAGATCTACTTTTATTGAATGTGTAGTAGGCTGTGTCTTTATATGATGTCATAAATACAACCTAATACATGCTGATATGGTTTGGCTGTGTCCCCACCCAAGTCTCATCTTGAATTGTAGCTCCCATAATTCTCGTGTGTTGTAGGAGAGACCCAGTGGGAGATAATTGAATCATGGGGGCAGTTTCCCCCATACTGTTCTCGTGGTAGTGAATAAGTCTCATGAAATCTGATGGTTTTATAAGGGGACACCCCTTTTGTTTTGTTGTCAGTTCTCTTGTTTGCCACCATATAAGACATGCCTTTCACCTTCTGCCATGATTGTGCGACCTCCCCAGCCATGTGGAACTGTGAGTCCACTAAACCTCTTTTTCTTTATAAATTATCCAGTCTTGGGTGTATCTTTTTCAGTACTGTGAAAATGGGATAATACACATGCCTAAGATGTTCTGGTCTCTGCAGAAACTTGCCTATTTGCAGATATGCAAATCTATTTTCAGGAGCCCACACCTTCTCAGAAACACTTTAGCATGTTTAAACCACCAGTGTTAATTTGATCCAAATAAACCATTGCTAACATGGGCAGTTTTGCCACTGTCTTTTTAAAACCATTGTAAGTATTCAAACCAATTTGTTTTTTTGAACACATTTGTTTGTTCTGTTTAGTTCAAGCCGGCTGGAAGAAGGACCTATATATAGACTTTGAAGATGTGCTAAATGGTTTGATTTATCAGAACTGTGTAGCACCCAACTGGGCTCTCTGAGCCTAGGTTCTGCCAGCAGATGAGCAAGGTATACTTGGTCAAGTAGAAAATATAAGAAGAATGTATTCCTATATCTAGTTTAAAATTCTCATTTTTTCTTGAATTTATTGTGGTTTGTTTTTCTTATTGAGATGGAGTCTCACTTTGTCACCCAGGCTGGAGTGCAGTGGCGTGATCTTGGCTCACTGCAACCTCCACCTCCCAGGTTCAAGCAATTCTCCTGCCTCAGCCTTCTGAGGAGCTGAGATTACAAGAGTGCATCACCACACCTGGCTAATTTTTGTATTTTTAGTAGAGATGGGGTTTCACCACATTGCCCAGGCTGGTCTCAAACTCCTGACCTCGTGTGATCCACCCACCTCAGCCTCCCAACATGCTAGGATTACAGGCTTGAGCCACTGCACCCGGCCCAATTTGTTGTTGAAGTTAAAAAGTAAATGTGTGGCAAGGAGGGCAGCCTAAAGGTGACAAAGAAGGAAAGTAGTTCTTCAAAGAGGAAGGAGTGACTTGTAAAACCACTCCTTGTAAAAACACACACAAACCAAACTTCTTATTCTACCAGATGCTGCTCCCACCAGACTTCTCCTACCATGCAGTATTTGGGACATTAGTATAGCAAAGAAGTATTTGTTATTTATCTGAAATTTAGTTTTATTGGGGCTCTGTATTTTATCCTATTGTGGAAGACTTGACTTTGGGAGAAATTCTGTCATTGATTCAAGGAAAATCTAGAAAAATAATTTTATCTTGTCTAGCAGTCACTTATGAAGTGGTTCATTCTTTAATGTACCACCACTACGATGACTTATAACATTTATTAAACACTTACCTATAATGCCAGGTACTGTTCTAGGTCCCCTAAATGTATTACCTCATTTCATTTTCCCAGTGATCCTACTGCTTACTGTTACTATGCCCAGATGGAAAAACAGGAGCACAACAATTAGAAACTTGCCCAAAATCTCCAAATTAATTAGCAGTAGGACCAGGATTTAAACTTGGACAGTCTGAGGCTGTGCAGCTCATATTCTTAACTGCTACACTATACTGCCTTTAACAATGATTTATTTATTGGGAATCTGTTATTCTGGCAGAATTGCAGAGTACAAAGGCAGGGTCCTAGCTCTCAAAGAATTTATGCCTGCATCTCTTGTGCAAATCGCAATGTGGAAAATACTGAGGAGACAAACGAAAAATTACTGTATGGGAATTAAAGAGGGCAGATAATTTCTGTTTGGAGAGAGAAAGAATAGCTATCCATAGGTTCACCATGGATTTGGTGTTCTGAACAGAACTGTGCAGACATTTCAGATCATGGCTCTATTTTTTGTTCCTTTAATCTTTTGTAATGCTTAGATTATCTAATGTATCTTCCAGTATCTTGTATCTCATAGCTTTGCTATTGGACTATTCAGAAATGAGGGCATTGTTGGTTTTCCTTTTTATTTAGCCTGAGTAACCTCTATCTTTAGTGACTTCAATCTTAAATGAGAAGAATGGCATTTGTTTGGTTTGTTTGTAAATGGCCTTGGAGTTGTGCTTTGACCTTTGTTGCTGTCATAATATTGGTCCCTTAATGTACCTAAATCCAACCAGAGTTTTTTCTAGATCCCTTTAGTTCCTGGTGATTTATCTTTAGTAAATTGTGACCAGGAACTTCTCTACTTATAGCTCACCTTCCTCCACCAAATAACTAATAAGAATGTTAAATGGCACCGTTCCCAGGACAAATCCCTGAGGCAGTGCCTGGTTAGTATTTCTCTGCCCAGCTCCTAAGCAACAGAGCACTACATGGTCTGGCTTGTAGAAAACACTTTTGTGAAGGTATGTGTGAGTTTGAATATTCAGGCTCAACTGTTTTTGATCACTCTCCAGGAAACTGTGCTTCACTCCCTATTTCATGTATTTTCAAGTTCCAGATCAGGACTTCACTTCTCTCCCCTTGAAAAACTGAACATCTGTTTATAGGCATTTCTGCTTTTCTTTTTGAATATGCAGTACATCTATATGAAATATCATATATCCCCACTGGTTTTGCCTAAACTTGAATTTGATTTTGAAAAGATAAATGCTTTCATAATTGCTTTAATGCTCTAAAATGGTTCATCAAAGGAATTTACTATTAATAAAATTAATAACTTTGGAAAATTCCTGGAGCGCAACCTTTAAAGTCTGGATTTTAAAACTTCGTAAGAGATTTTAGATAAATTACAGACTTATGAACAGTGGTTGGGAAGGATGAAATGAGAAAGATTATCTGAGTTCTTTGGTCTCAGTTATTTACTTTTAACCACATGTACAGAACTTCATGGACCTCTTCCCCTGTATCATCTTAGCAACCTGAAATAAACACAACATGAGCACAAGGTATTTATTACCTCATTTCAGTGAAGATTAAAAAATCAGTCCCTGAATATGTGGCACTATTAAGATTTGATGTTATATAAATTATCAGTCTAAGTTCATTCAACCTCAGCATTCTCTACTTAAAATATAGAAAGGTAGCTAATTATTCACAGTGAGTAATCTATTTTGTTTCTTCTTCTATTCTTACTGTGTCCATAATTTTAAGAAAAGAATGCCATTCTTTAATATTAAACAGGTTATTGCTTTTTCGTCGCCATTAAATGCTTATTGTATGAATTAGTCTGTCAGTTTTTATGGGGAGCCGGTCTCCTCTTGGGAACTATACAGTGTGAAGGGAAATGACACAGCGAGTATCAATAAATGAATAATGAAATGTAAACATATACTTTTAAAAATAATACATAAATCCTTAGTAGTTAACAGATTAATTGAAGAAGCCACAGAATTAGTGGAAAATGTTTGGTGAAAAAACTCAGTTTGACTTAGTACATAAAAGGGAATAATATACATAAGTTAATCAATATCGAGCATCTGTTTGGTTCTATGCCAGGACTGTTTAAATGAATGGATGAAAGTTCCTGGGTCCTCAACTTTAAAGAGCCAGGCCTGCTGTCTTGGCAGCAACTTCTAGCAGAGCTTGTCTTGAGGTTTGCTGCTGCAAGCTTACTGTCTTACAGTAGTGAACAGACAGTAGTGTGATGGAGGTGTGCCTGAGGTACATTGTGCACACAGGGAGAGAGGGCTCAGTCAGAGAAGAAAGAAAGGCCCTGGGAGGTCCCCTGACTTCCCCACTCCCTCCTGCTCCCATCCTCACATGAGAGAGGAGATAGTCTTTCAAGATGTGTAAAATGGCATGTGAAGCAGGCTCTTATCCATGTATAGTTTCGCTCTACTCTGATCTGAATATAGCAGATACCTTTTGTATTTACAGTTGGAGAGTCTCTGGAGACTTTGATAAAATGTGATGGTCACAGGCTTAGATTAAATGTCTTGGTTTTGTTTGTTGATTTGTTTTGTTACTAGAGATTTAGGTAATGGTTCACTGCTAATGAAGATACAAACATGTACAGGTTGAACATCCCTAATCTGAAAATTAGAAATCTGAAATGCTCCCAAATCCAAAACGTTTTGAGCACTGACATGATGCTCAAAGGAAGTACTCATATGAGCATTTTGGGTTTTGGGATTAGGGATTCTCAATCAGTAGTTATAATGCAAATATTCAAAAATCAGAAAAAATCCAAACTCTGAAACATTTCTGGTCCTAAGCATTTCGGATAAGAGATACTCAACATTTACCCAGATTTAAAAATGGCATTTTAATATTTGGTTCAATAGACACCTGGCTAGCAACAAAAAATAAATTTTTGAAGATGGATCCCATTATCCGTGAAGAATTCACTCAGCTTCTTACTGAGTTTCCAGAAGAAGTCTACCTTTTTTACGTCCAGCATTGTTTGAATCCTTCATGAACTTCGTTGGAGATAGCTGTGATGATAAGTAACCTAAAGCTGGCTAAACATTTATCTGCATAGTTTTTAGCTTTATGGAAAGGGCTACAACTAAGTAGAAAAGAAATCAAAAGATAGGAGTAAGCTGAATGAGACCTTCAGATTTTGCTTTTTTGTCACCTGTAGACCTCATTTGACAACTATGAGCATATTAAAGGCTGAAATAAAGACATGTCACTTTTAAGGCTCCATCCCCCAAAAGCCCAACTTGGGAGGGAGATAAACATAATTTCTCACAGTGTGTTTAACAGGCACTTTAGTTACTGTCTCTGTGTATGCT